GAACAAGAATTTGAAAGATTTTGGGATCCAACTGTTTTTTATTTTTATGGAACTAGAGATTCTGGAAAAACAAGTTTAGTACAAACGTTAGTTGGAGAAGAATTATATGATAAACCGATAGGAACTTGGGATGGATATGATGGACAAGAGATTGTTTTATTAGATAAATATCATAAAAAAATTGAATGGATGGAATTAATGAGAGTATTGCATGATAATAAATATATGGTAGAAACAGAAAGAGGAAAAATAGTACCTTTTGTTGCGAAATATATATTTATAACCAATAGAAAGACACCTAAAGAAGCACATGAATTGAGTGAAGATGATGATAATAATTATAATGTTTTTGAAGATCGTCTTGATTATATTGTTCAATTTGATGGAAAATGGAATGATAATATTAGAAAAAGAGATTTAGAACTTGTATTTCATAAGGGTGATGAGAGAAAATTTCAAAAGATAGAATGGGATGTGGAATATAATAATGATGAAATTGATAATGATGAATTGATTGATATGGGAGAGGAATTTGTTAGAAATGTCAAGGGTAAACACTTTGAAAGAAATGGAAAAGTTTATTGGCGACCAGAATTTCCAGATTATCTTAAAAGATATTTACGAGAATATCCTAAATGTAAAGAATTGTATAAGTATATTAGAGAAGAAAATAAAAAAACTATTAGTTATAGAAATAATGTTACAACTAGTTCAAAAAAGAAAACTGAAGGTAGATCATCATTGTGGTCACATGAAGGTGGAGCATTAGGATATCAAGAAAAAGAATATTATTAATTAAATATATATTATTAATTAAGATTAGATATATAAATAAATGATTTTTATTTTATTATTAATAAAAAAATGGTTACTAAATATTCAGAAATACAAAGATCCGTGTTTTGTTATGATTCTGAGAATAAATGTATTATTAAAGGTGATAATTTTGAAAATAAAGTAGGGCTTTACTTGAAAAAAAATGGATTACATCCAAAGATAATTAAAAATTATACATTCACCGATGGGCGTTTTTTAATGAGAAAAGATAAGTCTTTACGGTCAGGAAGAATAATATTATTAAAAGATAGTTCTATAGAAGGTTTAGAAATTATTAATACGGGAAAGTATACTATAATTGGTGATGATGGAACGGATATATGGTGTAATTATTTTGGTTATCCATTATTGGTACAGTGTAAATTTCATTCTGTTTGTGATACATGTAAAAATAAAAATAAAAATTGTAGTCATGGATATTGGGAAAAGGATATGATAAAGGATGTTAAAAAACTTGATGATAAATTATCTGAATATAAAGTAGATGTATTTGGTATATTTGTGATTAGTGAAGGAATAAAAATATGCGAAGAAGTTAAAAATATGAAATTTAAAAATATCATGAAGGTTGTTAATTTTTATGATAAATCCGAAAAAAATGATTTTTTTGATAATTTAAAAAATCAAATAGATTTATTAGGTAAACAATTAATAAATAAAACACAAAATATGGACTGGTGCATATCTCTCGAAGATAAAAAACGTGTAGAATTAGAATTAGCTTATAGAAATTTAGAAAAAATAATCGATGATAAATCATTACTGATTATAACGAATTTTTATTATAAAAATTTAAAAAAAATACCTTATTATGTTAGACAGGCATATAATATTACAAGTTTAAATGATATTTGTAACCAATTAGATTTTTTAAATATAGTTTAACCTATTAATAAAATAATTTATTTTAATTTAGAAATAATAACATAATCATTTTCATTATAAATTTCTCTATTATCAATAATATCTTTAGCTTTGTTATTATTATTTATTGCTGCATATTCTAAATATTTAAATGCATTCCAACGATTTTCTTCGTTTCCAAATTTTCCATAAAGTAAAATTTCACCATAATAATAAGAAGCTTCAATATTTTTATTATTTGCAGCTTTTTTAAATAAAGTTGTTATTAATAGATTAAATTCTTCACTTTCATTTTCTTTACATGTTTTTAATAAAAGAAGAGCATATTTAACTGTTGCATTAGTTATATCATTTATAGAAGCTATTTGATA